GATAGATATGACTGATTTAGATACATGGTTGTTTGTTCTTCCAGATCTCCATACCTTTCGCCGAAATTCAATGTAGTCTACACATATTAATGATTCATTTGCTAAGTATAGAGACAAAGGATTGTTCGTACGTGATTAATTCATGAAACAGAGTAACCTTTCCAGGTTTAGATCTTGCTGACAGTTTAATCCAAAACGGAAATAATGTTCATATTTGTATAAAATATGTGTTACGGGTTGTGCTGTTTGTATTTTTAAACACGATACGGGAAGTGCGCCAACATGCACACATACACACGTAGTATCTATTTATATTTACAAAGATATTAATAAATCTGAAAGTGTCTTATAATATACACTAAACGCCAAAAGAAACGTTACCATCCTACCTCTATGAATTACTAAAAAACCATCAAAGATATGTTAGAAGGTATTAGTTTAACAACACAGCTTTGTGCAAATCACGAAAAAAAGATTCTCAAATGCATTCATATTTAGGTGAAATGCATCTTTTCAGAAGAGTTAAATTGTCCTATATTCGTCCATGCCGAAATAAACCAATAACAGTGATTTTGATGTCCCAAAGAAAGGTTGATATAAAATTCTGCTATGGGACAAAGATAAACCATTTAAAGTCACCATTTTCAACAGAACAAGAAACAACTTTTGTAGAGTGTGTAAAATTGTAAAATAATCATTCCTATGATTTCAAATCTTTTAAAACATTTTCTGTTGATTTGCGTTAGTGAAAACAAGTAAAACGTGTCTTTGATATTGTGAAAAAATGTTTAGGAACATCTAAAATTATCTTTGTTAACATTTTTGCTGTTTACACATAGCAATGTCAATCGCCAAAACGCAGCAATATTCAAGCAGTATTTGCATCAATTTCACATGTAGAATGATTCTATTGGGTATGAAGAGAGCCTAGAATACATGATATGATACACAAGTACGAGAAATAGGCCACGATTAACAGCTGAGGAGAGAGAAAGAGACATTGGGATGGTGCAGATGGGGGCGACATACAATGATGTTGCCAACGCCCTCGGATGCCACCGTATCACGGTTCTAAGACTGATTCAGGGATTCAGACAGACTGGGGTCACCGTAGACAGACCAAGAAGTGGACGTCCACACGTCACAACGCCAGCTAGAAATAGATACCTCCGTCATTAGGAAGGAGGGTAACGGTATTTTTGGCGTTTAGTGTGGTTAATTTGAGTAATATTTGGAAACGGTGAGAAAAATCGCGGGGTGCACTTACGTACGAATCACAGTACGTGTTTTCAATGAACCGTTGGCTCCCTGTGCGGCATATATAGGTGTGTATTGAGTATAAAGGTTAGTGAAAAATATTTTCAAACTTATCTTGGAATCCTTTTCGTGATAGTTTGGAACAATTATGTGTTGTTTACCTTATGTACTATTTAGGGAGAACCTGACTAAGTAGCAATAATTTACATAAATGAATGTACATTAATTAATGATTTATATATGAAAGCATAGTATCCATTTTCATAAATACAAACTACTTCTTAACCCAATGACAATATCGTGGTCCATTCTTTTACATTTAAACTGACATCGGTCAAATCTATATTAAAACGCATAATTATTTAATAGACAACATATCTATTTATCTTATACAAACGCACGCAGACGAACACAACCTATTGTAAATGCAAGATGTGAGTATATTATTGATAGTAACACTTTATCGTAGCCGAAAAAAATAATAATGACTTCAAGGCCCTAGTTTATCACACTTCCTGTTGAAACGAAAATACTAACACTTTTTTAAATTACGTAAAAAAAACCGACAAATATTCAGTTACTACTATTGTGTAGACAAAAGTGCTTGATATCTTTGCGGTTTGATATACTTGTAGTGTCGCAGATTGGGGTCTCTTATTGTCCGAGACAAATATTAGGAGACGGAGTTGTTTTAAACAGCTGTTTATACAGCTGCCGGCGACAGTAGTATACTATGATTATATTTCAATTCATTCGTTCGTGTCAAACATTTAAAGTAGGCCCACGAGACATTCGGCCCTCCTCAAGGGATAAAACTGTATATAGATTACCAATCTTCATGGATTTAACTGCTGCTACTGTTAACCTTTGACTCTGCTGAATTTACAAGCGTAGATAATCCCAGTAATGAAGAACATTTATATCGTTATATATGGAATGAGAACCACAAGGGAACATGGTAGATTTGCTACATAAACAGCAACCACCATTTAACGTATTAACTGACTTAGTAAATGCTGATATCAACCAAGCACTGGATTTATTTATCAGAAATGTTTTGAACGCAGCTGAAATATTCAAGAAAACACCAAGTAAAGCAAACAAGCGTGTTTTTTATACTAGAAGTTGTCAACATGCTAAACTAGAGGCTGGACGTGCACTTAGACGCTTCAGAAATACTCAATCAGTTTCAGGTAGACGCAGTTACTGTGAATTAAGAAATAGATATAAAAATGAATGTAGAAAAGCTAAACGTATATTCCAAACAAAGAAAGGCGATATATTAAAATCATCTCTCCATAATAGTTCAATCTTTTGGAAAGAGTTAAGAATCTTGGATCACGCTCGAAACGCATGTTGTACTGTGGATAAATCTGTTTTATTCAATCATTTTAAGGATTTATTTAGCACACACAATCATGTTGATGATACGGCAAAGAATGATTTTAACTCTGATGACCATAAGCCTTTAAACCAGATTGATTATTGTGTTCTTGAATCTCCTTTTACTGAAGATGAAATAAGTTCTTGTCTTAGCCATTTGAAAAATGGGAAGTCAGATGGAATTGATGGGGTTATTGTGGAATTTTAAAAATCATCTGAACATATTATTATGCCATTTTTGAAAAACATTTTTACAAGATCTTTGATATGGGGACTTTTCCCGTTACTTGGACAAAGGCAATAATTATCCCCCTACATAAAAAGGGTGATCGGACAAATCCTGATAATTACAAAGGAATATCCTTACTATGTATTTTAAGCAAATTATATACATCCATTTTAAATGTTCGTATCACGAAATGGGCAAATATGTGGAATAAAATACCTGAGACACAGGCTGGATTTAGGCAAGGATACTCTACAACAGATCATATTTTTACTTTACACGGTATCATTGAAAAATGTCTCCTAAAGAAATGAAAAAAGTTATATGTTGCTTTCATTGACTTTTAAAAAGCCTTTGATTCAATTGACCGCTCTAAGCTATGGAATTGTTTATTTAAATCCGGCTTATACGGGAAAATGTTAACTGCTATTATGAGTATTTATAGCTCTGTTAAAGCCTGTGTTAGAAATGATAATGGATTTACTGATTATTTTGACTGTCCGGTCGGTTTAAAGCAAAGGTGTGTGCTCAGTCCTCTATTGTTTTCTCTATTCATTAATGAATTATCAGATGAATTATCAAACGATGGTAAATATGGTATACAGTTATTTCCTGACTTATTAGAAATTGTATTACTTATGTTTGCAGACGACGTCGTTCTTGTGTCTGATACAATCCCTGGGTTGCAAAATCAACTAAATATTTTGTATAATTTCTCTGAATACTCGAGCTTAAAAATTAATTTAGATAAGACAAATATTGTTGTTTTCAGAAGGGGAGGTCGCCTAATGTGAAACAAAAAGTGGTTTCTGAATGATGAGCCAATAACAACAGTTAATACTTATAAATATTTGGGTGTAATTTTTTCGTCAACTTTTAAAATGAGAAATTGGTGTAAATGATCTGGCACTAAGAGGTAAACGGGCTTTAATGGAAGTAATTACTAAACTCAGTATAATTGGAATTATAGATCCGAGTGTATTTTTTAAAATATTTGATACGCAGATACAACCAATATTACTTATGGGGCTGAAATATGGGGAATGCACAAATTTGATGAGATAGAAAAGGTCCATTTGATAGCCTGTAAAAGATTTTTAAATGTCACTCCACAAACTCCTCCCGCTATTGTCTATGGTGGGTGTGGAAGGTACTCTCTTTATAAATGCAATGTGTAAAACCTTGAAATATTGGTTAAAAATCACTGGTATGAATGAAGACAGAATTCGTTTAAAAGTCTATAAAATGCAAATGCACTATGATAACTTGGGATACAATACATATGCTTCATAAATAAGAAATATTCTTTTTTCACATGGTTTTGGTTATGTCTGGATTTCGCAGACGGTTGGTGATAAAATTTCTTTTATGAATGAATTCAAATCAGTTGCAATCAATATGTTTCTCCTTTCATGGACGTGTACATTAAATAACAGCTCACGATATTGTATGTATAGAGAATTTAAAAGTCTTTTAGCTCCCGAAAAATATTTATCATGTATTGTCGACAGAAAACTCCGTAAAATATTGATTAAATTTAGATGTGGATTGCTAAGATTAAAGTATAATGAAGGTAGATGGTAAAATATTAATGAAACGGAACTCAACTGTCCATTGTGCAATTTAGGAGTAGAAGATGAGTACCACTTTTTATTTGTTAGTAATGTTTATAATGCTCTTAGATCAAAATATTTACCATCTGTATATTGTCAAAAACCTAATTATCATAAGTTGAAATCCCTATTAACTACTAATAAAGAAACACTTCTAAGACAATTAAGCACATATTTATACCATGCATATGAACTAAGAGAATTAAAATACCTGCAAATTCAGTAAGATAATATTATATATTTTTGTATGATTTCTGCATGTTCTATGTCATTATATATATGTGTTGTTAACTGAACCTTTGTTATTGTATACATGTGTAAATGTATATAAAAATTGTGTATATGCTGTATACGGGCCTGTGACCTATAGGCAATAAAAAACACTTTGACTTTGAACTGCTTATAATCTCGCCCAGCCTATAAAATGTTTGCTTCAGCACACCTCAGTGTGCAACTGTGCATGTACTCGGCCTACCTCGTATAACCATACAACTGGATAAATGACAAGGAAGTAGGGGAGACAACCTGATTTCATCTGCTGCTGTCTCCGAGTTTTTAGTTTCTTTGGATGCCGCTTTTGATGAAATAGCGAGATTAAAGACTTTGCGCATTTAAAAGATCCAGATAAACAGCATATTCCCGAAGGTGAACCATTGTTCCCAACGCAATTATCAACCAATTCTGAATTGCATGCAAACAAACTAGTACGAGTGCAAAAATATCAACAATGTTACTGTATTGATATATTTACTACAAGGCATGCATAACTCATAAAAGAGTCATATTCACCACTGTCATGACATATAAGTAAACACCTGTTCAAAATCTGCAAGAGTTGGAAGCAGCTGTGTCAAAGAATGTGACGTAGTGTACATTGCAGGCATTATCCAAGTACGTACAAGGAAGGTATATACTAGATGTTGATTTACAATGTTCCCAGGTTACAACTAATAAAACCGTTTGTCTCACCCCATGTTATCTGATCCTCTCTCTGGCTCCATACTTGTAACAGGTATCACGTTGAGCCAAAACCGATGATTTGTGTATTGTGTCATATCCATTGTAAAAATATTGAAGGAAATATTGACTTTTTCAACTAACATCAGTGGAATGTGTACACCACTGATGTTAGTCGAAAAGGTCAACATTGTGAAAATTACCAGAGTGCATAACTTTTTGCCAGATGTATATATGTAAAATTCCGTTTTTGCTTAAACAGTGCCATTTCCACCAGTCACAAAATCGGTGATGTTTTGCAGGTTAATAGTTCCTGAAGGGAGATGAGAGAAGATATAACCCCGCTGAAGTCTTTAGAAGCTGTGTTGTCATGGCAGTCATCATCACAAACTGAGCTGGCAAAGAGCACTGTTGAGATTTCGCACTCCTTCAATAGATGCGGAGATACTCCCAAGACCCTGGTGTGCCATGACATGGCAGGGGGGTACCTCAACGACAGGTAAGTAGAATATAAGTTTAAACAACGGAGCACATGAGGTCGAGGTTGATGGAGGATAGGAGAATGAGTTTAAACAGGGCTTGAGGTGGACAGAGGTGAGGTGTATGTGCGGCTGCTTGTACTAGCCCAGACTTAAGATGGTTTTTTATAGTGCTAGCCCACTGAGATACCATGCCGCAGTGAAGCATGAATACCCCACTCAGACACATTATACTGACTCCGAGCCGACCAGTCCTTGTTGTACCCATTAATGCCGAGGACCAGGCAGGGACCAATAAGTACCATATTTTAACGTCTTTTGGTATGACATGGTCAGGGATCAAACCCGCGACCTTCCGCTCTCCAGGTGGATGCTCTTACCACTACACCACGTAGGCAGTCAGGTGGACAGAGGACTGGGGAGAATGGGTTTAACAAGAGGCCTGAGGTGGATGGAGGAGAGGTGATAATGCGTTTATACATGGGTTCAGGAGGACATGTGATAATAGGTATAAACACAGAGGTTTCAGGTGGATGGGGGACAGTTGATAATGGGTTTATTCAAGGTTTGAGGTAGTTGGAAGACAAGTGATTATTCGTTTAAACATAGGGGATGGAGGCATTCACCCCAAGAGTACAATTTACCGCCCTCGATCACCTACACACTGAAGCAATAGTAATTGAACAGTATATCTAAATGATCCTGATGTATGTCATTAATGTCAGTGTTGAGTTGCCATTTATGTTATTTCCATCTTACTTATGGTTATTCCCTGTTCCAAGGTTTGTTGCAGGCTGTGATGGGTCTGGATACCGGTTCTACCACTGGCAGTATTTGGACATGTTTATATACTTCAGTCACCACTTAGTGACTATCCCTCCTCCATGTTGGACTAACACAGCTCACAGGCATGGAGTCCAAGTACTGGGTGAGTTCTTCCTCTCTGGCTAACACAGCTCACAGGCATGGAGTCCAAGTACTGGGTGAGTTCTTCCTCTGGGGCTAACACAGCTCACAGGCATGGCATCCAAGTACTGGGTGAGTTCTTCCTCTCTGGCTAACACAGCTCTCAGGCATGGGGTCCAAGTACTGGGTGAGTTCTTCCTCTCTGGCTAACACAGCTCACAGGCATGGCATCCAAGTACTGGGTGAGTTCCTCCTCTCTGGCTAACACAGCTCACAGGCATGGAGTCCAAGAACTGGGTGAGTTCTTCCTCTCTGGCTAACACAGCTCACAGGCATGGGGTCCAAGTACTGGGTGAGTTCTTCCTCTCTGGCTAACACAGCTCACAGGCATGGCATCCACGTACTGGGTGAGTTCTTCCTCTCTGGCTCACACAGCTCACAGGCATGGAGTCCAAGAACTGGGTGAGTTTTTCCTCTCTGGCTAACACAGCTCTCAGGCATGGGGTCCAAGTACTGGGTGAGTTCTTCCTCTCTGGCTAACACAGCTCACAGGCATGGCATCCAAGTACTGGGTGAGTTCTTCCTCTCTGACACAGCTCACAGGCATGGCATCCAAGTACTGGGTGAGTTCTTCCTCTCTGACACAGCTCACAGGCATGGCGTCCAAGTACTGGGTGAATTCATAAATGAATAACATGTAAAACTCCTGATATATGTTTCTCATAGTTTAACCCTAAATCAAAGATGTTTTCAATGGATGTCACACAGATTGTTTCCCCTTTAGGGACATTTATCACAGAGTGGAATGATGGGAAGCAGGTATGTTCAGAATTCCTTCAGTCAGCACGTGACTACCGTGGCTTGGTTAACAAGATGGTGGAGATAATGAAGTACTATGGCTTCGATGGCTGGCTGATCAATATAGAGAATGTTATTGAGGTGAGTATACCGGGGAATTGTGTGGAGTTTCTCGGCCTGTCAACGTAGGAGATAGATGCATCATTTGTAAACACTTCACTTACCTGCCACATTGTTAATGTCTGCTCGGGGTAGCCTAGTGATTAAAGCGTTCACTAGTTAAGCTAAAGACCCGGGTTTGATTCCCTACATGGGTATAATGTCTGAAGTCTACTTCTGGTGTCACCCACTGTGTAATTGCTGAAATATTGCTAAAAGTGACATAAAACCCAACTCACTCACTCACTCAGTCAATCATATAAGACGGCTCAGAGTGGAATGAGACCTATGTCACTATGCTTCATCATTTGGCGATTTTGAGTAATTGCATGAGTTGTACTGTGCCATCACGTTTATGGCATCCATGTGTGCCACTTCCTCCCACTCACTGTGATACAAGCCATGCCACTATCACTGGACATTTACAGACAGAATGGTACTGGGACTAAATTGACAGCAGAAGCACATTATCCTTCTGCTATCCTGTTTCTATGTGTTTGTATGTTTGGCTGCAGGAGGATAAAGTCAGCCACCTTAGAGAGTTTGTCGCCTATCTCACACAGAGATGTCACTCAGAGATCACAGGGTCAAAGGTCATCTGGTATGATAGTGTCACAAGGTCAGGGGAACTGAAATGGCAGGATCAACTGAATGAGGAAAACAAGTAAGGCCGTACTGGGGCACATTCGTACTTGTGTTTGTGACAAGATACTCACAAAGTTATTGCAAGTAGGAAATCATTCCAGACAATCCCGTGATTAACAATAACATCGTGAGCATCGATCTACACAATTGGGATATGATGACATGTGTCAACCAAGTCAGCGTGTGTTGACGGAATCAGGTGGATTATCTGGACCATTATTTACAGACCGCCATCATATAGCTGGAAAATTGCTGCGATTGACATTAAGCAACAAAAAAACAAAAAATCTGAACATTGTTGAAAGCGAATATGTCACTAATTACCTTGACATATTTGAATTTATTGTTACTCCTGATTCATGTCCAGACACAATGACATACGCTCCTGATAATGCAATTCAATAGTTTTCATCCCATTCTGTATGATGGTATGTGCTGATTCTACAGTCCTGCTTGTGTAGTTGGCTGGTTAGTTCTGAACTTTGAAAGGTTACGCTATAAGCATTCATTTCATGATATCTTTTCCAGTATGTGTCAGCATCCACCTTAGTTTGGTGGCACATCAATTTCATGACATTCAGCACACCATCTTTGTCTAGAACCTTGGGCAAGTTGGTATAATTACATCATGACTTAACAACAATGGCTATTATGTTTCCCGACATCATATAATCATCTTTTCCTAGGATGTTCTTCGATGCATGTGATGGGATTTTTCTCAACTATAACTGGGATGAGACAAAACTACAGACAAGCTACAACATGGCGGGTACCAAGCGTGCCCATGACGTGTTTGTGGGTGTGGATGTGTTTGGGCGTGGCTGCCCCGGGGGTGGAGGATACAACTCCTGTGAGGTGATCACTACTTTGCATTACACACTTCTTTCCAATATAGATGCTCTCTAGCTCACCTAAAGTTTTCTTATATGTAATCATGGTAATAGTAGATCAAAAAGGTTTATGACAAGAATAATTGTAAACTGCATACTCGCTACATTATACCTTGATTCATACATAGCTGGCTCAGGAGCAGGTCAAAACTAGTCCACTGAATATGTTCTTAGATCTACTATAGACTTGCTGCATATATCAATCTATCATAATTAGTTATGGCCAAACTCAGCATTTAGGAAACTACGAATATACAAATATCCCAATTTTGAACAAAATAAAAAATTTCCCAATTTACTGGTGAAGGGAAGTTAATTTGGAATCCTGGATGAATCTAGGAGTTGATTGTAAGTGCAGTAAAGCTAGACATAGAATGTGGAAACCAAATCTCGATGCAACGGCATCAAGGTCAAAAATCAAAACATGCATAGAAACACATTTTAGTTATTCCAAATACTGGTCCCACATACTTGATGCATACCAGATTTCATTATGATAAGTTCAAAACTATGGCTGTCATACACGTAGAATGTTTATAAGAATTTTGTGAGCAGAACTATTGGCTATGATCATCCTTGCTAAAAGGTTTTAGATTCAACAGAAATGTTAAACAGACTTTCTACTGTAAACTATAGGATTACTTGAATGAGCTCAGATAAGCTGAAAAACAAATGTCCTATCTAACCATGTTTACTGTTCACAGGCAATGACGAAGATTCGTCAAGCCAACTTATCAGCAGCTATCTTTGCCCAAGGGTGGGTGTACGAGACACAGGGTGCAGAAAACTTCACAAAGAATGAGGACAGGTAGGACTGAACACATAATTAATACACGGAGCACTAATGCCACGTGTGCCATTGGTGTTTTGGATTGTTAGAGGTAAAAAAATGATGAGGACAACCGGGTTCAGTTTTTGGGCAATGTACAATCATTTTTTATCATAGTTTCTTGTAATCGATGTTACTTAAGGACTGATATATCAAAGGTTCCACGTCCTGGACTGTTTGTTCCAGGTTCTGGCAGCTGTTACATGACCACTGTTCTACCTCAACCTTCACCAGCCCTCTTCTCTGCACCTCCTTCTGCCAAGGTGAAGGACAAAAATACTTTTGTAAAGGGGAGGTAAGATATGGTTTTGATGGATTTACAGTTATGGTAACTTACATACATACAGAATAATTGGCATGTCAAATACCATGGTTATCTCAGTGAATGAGTGAGTGGATGGAAGTATCCTCTTGTACTGGTCACATGACATGAGCAAGTTGTTTGTCAAGATGTGTTGTTTCACTCAATATGTAATGACTTCAGATATACACAGTCAAACCTTGTATTGAACATGGATGGATCAAATTCTCAGTTGCATTGAACCTACCATCAAGTCCCTGCAGTTTGCTTCTGCATGAACTAGATAGTCCCAGCTGTCTTGAACTCATTGGGGACTTCTGACTATAGAATATAAGCATAACATTCTCCTCATGACTTGAACAGCTGAAAATATGTTTACACTCACCTACACTTTCCAAACTTTAAACTCGTGACACACAATTAACTGACTTCAAAGTGATTGCCATAATTACATCAAAGGCAAGATGCTTTCTAACAGTATACCAACATAGGGTCTGAAAAACAAGCACACCTTGAATGTGAGGTTAAAGCTGACTAATGTATACACTTCAGTAGTAGGATGTTGCAGTGTATCAAGGTGATTCATGTTAACATAGAAATATGTCAAATCGATTACCTGAAGTGTTTAGATGGTAACAATGCGGTTAATGATACATCTGAATTGCCACCCCTTTCACTACCATACATGTGGTCTAGAAAACAACAAGTTCCAAAAATGAAGAAAGTTTAGTTAATTTAAGAACTGTTTGTTTGTAAAATATGTTCATTTTAGAGACTAGATGTTAGTCTAAACAAAGTGGAGCTATACATTGCTCCCCCTGTATAAGTGTCTTCACAATGAAGTCCAGACTTTAGCTATTTGATTTGAATTGATTGCATAATGAAGAGAGAGTGCCCCTCCACTTCAGGTTGTGAAAGACCGTCCCTGGTATAACCTGAGTCTGCAGCAGATACAGCCGTCCTTCAACATGCACGGTCAGAGGTCAGAGGTCAAGAGCTTAGAGTTCACAACAAGTGATGGGTACCTGGGTGGCGGCTGTCTTCTACTGAGGGGCGAGGTGGAGAGGGAGAAAGAAAAACTGTGGTTCAAGTATGTCACATGGCTGACCATCATATTGATGTGTTTTAGTTCCTCTTGACCGTAGAGAGTTGAAGACTATATTGACTCTCATCTGTAAAAACTTCTAATGGAATCATTTTGTCAGGCTTGCTGGCTTGGTTGACACATGTGATCGTATCCCAATTGCATTGATGTTGATCACTGAATTGTCTGGTCCAGACTCCATTATTTATTGCTGCCATATACAGTGTAGCTGGAACTACAGGAGTATGATGTTAAACAACAAGCAAACAAAACTAACTGAACACTTACAGCTTCTCAAAGACTGTGTGAGGGAATGTGCTGAACTTTTTTACCAGAATTTAAAATCCAGCACATCCTGGTAAATTATAATAAAGTTAATAAGGAAGTAATATAAAATAGTATATGCTAATAAGGCCCCAAGCAAACTACAGAAGCCTTGACTGAATACATATATGTACAGGGTAATATGTGTTATCACAGTAAATGTCAGAACAGTAAAATACCTTTATAACGAACTCCAAGGGACCACTGAAATTAGTTTGTTATATCCGCAGTTCGCTATTCAGTTTTTTATATGATAATATACGGGTTAGTCGGGACTTTTAAAACAGTTCGCTATAGCCGTCAGTTCGTTATATCTGTGTTCATTATAAAAGTATTCTACTGTATATCGGTATCTACAGTTCAGAGTGAGATGTTCTGGAATGTAACAGTGTTCGGCAGGGTGGTGCCTCTGTAAGAGTACTTACACACATGTATACAGTTTGCATGAGGACAGTAGAACAGTTTGTTCCAGCTTGATGCCCCAGTCTCCACAGCGCTGACTGTCACATTCACAAGCAAGGGGGGATCCTGACAACATGCAGCCTGTCCTCAGGCTGACCCTGTCCAAGGGAGACAACTCTCGTGTCCTGTGTCTTGGGGAGGAAGAGGTTGAAGAAGTGGTGAGGAAGAAACTGAAGACTAGTGTGGAGGAAGTGTGGATCAGCCCCCATGAACAAGACAGCAGGTTTAACAACTGGCAAAACAGGAATAAATGGAAAACAAGGTTTGCATTTGTCAATGTGTTAAAATGCTTCTGCTAGAGGTCATTTATGTGAAATGTGTATTGGGTAGTATTGGTGTATTTGGTGAGTGTATGCTTCACTTACAGACTGTTGTTTCACAAATCTTCTTCTTAGAAACATTTTTATTCAGGAGACATATGCATTTTATACGTGTCTTTTGATATATATTTTACAAATAGTATTACCATGATTCAGACCATGTGTATATTATTATATTTAGGGATTTGATTTTTAAACTTTTATTAAGCACCTTGTGGTTATTGATTTGCACATATTAACCAAGTAATGCAAAATAGTAGGGATGGTTGTCACTTTCTGAGCGTAACTATGATGGAATGGGTTGATGAAGTTGGTTGTTCATTACTTTTCAACACAATCCCCTCTGGCACACCCTGCCTGTGATGCTGGAGTGGCTGGATCGCACTGAGAATTAATGTGAGGTCACCCTCCTGGTGTTGTCTCATACAACAGAAAGGACTGTCATCGTTTGTAAATGCTTGCTAGAGTGTTAGAGTGTTTGAGTACCTGTAATACTGAAGTCAGGTCAGGAGGTTCAATGCATTCAAAGCTACTGTTGCCATTGGAACAACAAACTTGTGATGCATTGTCCTGGTGGAATGAACCTGTACCATTGTGATCAGAAGTCAGATGCCAGGGAACCTAGGGTGCTGTAACGTTTGTCATGCCTAGTTCATTCCTCAGAATGTTCTCAGCTCTTCATGAGAGACACCTACTGTGTCATCTAGGTGGTGTGTAGTGTGTCCTTGATCATCCTGTGTTATAACATTTACAGTTCAAGGCTGTGGAAGGTCATCCTGATCTTGTTTTAGTCTCTGTCTCCCCATATTGGACTCTGCTGCACACCTCCAAAAAAGTGGTGAAGGAAGGAGCATCCTCCATTGTGTCTGCAAGATGGGCACGGCACCAGTTGAGATACTTGTTTCAGAGAATGCCTAGTTACACTGAAGCCAGCAGAGATATGCTGCCAAGTTGTGTTTAGGGTTCAATGCAACCTGTAAGCATGGAAAGTGTTTTACTTAATACATGCAAAATGTTACGGGTGTACACACCCTCATAGTTTTGCTCAGAGCTTTTCAGCCACCCATGGTACTCAGAAAATGTTTGTGTGAGCAGCAGTGGCAATACGTTCCTGTATGTGTTCAGATGTTTCAGGTTAGAGGAGAGGCTGGTGTCTGGGTGGAAGCTACAGGGGGGTCAGTGTGGGGACATCGGCTGAGGACAAGGAACAGGACTCTGTCTGTCTTTACCTGGGACAGATCCAGGTGGGTCGACTCAGTGTCAGCCATGGGGAACACAACACACATAGAACCTATGACAGTGTAGGAAACTTAACAGAAAATTCTACCAGACACCAGGACTGGTAACTCTGGAAACTTATCAGCCCTTCCCAAAAGTTCCCAGACCAACTTTAATTTCATATTTCAGCTCAACAATGATAAAAAAAACTATTAAGTATCTTTGCTTTCATATTTCTTGAAATGCCCAACAAAAGAAACAGTATCATCACAGCGCTTTGAAACAGGTAAACAGTAATCACAAAACTAGAGTTATCAATATTCCTAAAAATTCCTTCTTCCAACTAGGAACTTTGGTCCACTTTCATTTATTTTTTTATATTCCTTCCTTCTTCCCAGCTGCTGCAGTGTGTCGTGAAGAGTTGTGTCCCTTTGATTCAAATCCCACCTCACACTGAGTATGTTTCTTGATGTGTCTTTGGCATCACATGCTCATGAGTTTAAAGTGGAAATACTGATGAAAGCAGTGTTAAAGCCAACTTACACACTCCTATCCTACTGAATATTTTTAACGAGAATTTACGCATTAGAAATGTTTAGCCATGTGGTATGTGCCAAGTCCCTGATGCTAATATTTCCCGTGGTAACACTAATCCTTACCTATTTCAGATTCTCACTGAGCCTCCATCAAATCCGTCATCAAGTGTACAAAACCTTACATGTTCATGTCTCAACCAAGAGGAAAGTGATTCAGGGGGAGATAACTCCTACAGCCTACAGTGGGAGGATGCTGGGTACAAGTATGTGCAGTATTACAATGTGTACCAGATGTCAGGGGACCCTGTCCTGGTGGGACAAACCCTCACCCCCAGCTGTGTCCTATCCCTGGACAGCAGCTGTGGTAGTGCCCTGTGTGTACAGACTGTCATGCGAGATGGCAATGTTGTACCCCTCACAGACTGTCCTTCCTGTCGTCTTCCAGGCTAAATGTGTGCGTGTTGTTTTCAAGAAGCATGTTGGGAATGAAAGGGTGATAATTACTCGCACATGGAGTAAAACATGAGTTACATCTTATACATTCTGTGAATTCTTGAGAGAACATTCATTTTCATCACTACTTAGTTCACAGAAAAAATAGGGTGTGTTGGTTACAGGTGTAACCAAGCATCTGACTGATTGGTCGATATATGGATAAAACAAATCTTTAGCATTTTGCACAATATTCATCTGTAAAAGTGAATTCAGAAAACTTCTTTTAAAAGCCAAACCATGTGATTCACATATATTATTAATAGTAAGTGAATAGCAAGAAAATGTCAAACCAACTTACCGGTTGTACAAGTATGTTTTTATCATTATGAGACATTTGGCTATGTAAAACTATTCAACTTGCAATTTTACTTTCTCAAAGTACTGAGCTATTGAAATATTCAGTATTATTGGAGACTTCCACCAGTAAGTGCCTTATCACTCTCTGCAGGTATTTTCTACCTGTCTTTGGAGACGTAAAGACGGGTAGGTTTCTGCCAAATAAGTTGTCGTCAATGTTGCTGTGCATGCTTGTCTCCCTTAGCGGGCCAGGATCAGCTGGACATTAGTGTGCAAGGGTCCTCCTGTGACTATATTTGAGAGTCCTGGGTACTCCCGTTCATGAATTGTTTTAGTGCCAGGTATTGAAATGATTGACATTGGGATCCCAGCAGGCTGTTCACACAGCAAGTAAAACACAAAGTGTATGTGAAGCCTTGATTGTTTAAGGAAGCGATTTCTTTGTTTTATTTTAAGTAATTAAGCAAATGAGGTTTTACACCGCTTTTAGCAATATTCCACAAGAAATGGGCTTCACACATTGTACTCATCTGGGCAATCATGCCTGGGTCTTTGGCATGATGAATGAACGCTTTAACCACTAGGCTACCTCAAGACCTGTGTCATTTGAAACTTAAAGACTGAGTATATAAAATATGATGACTGGCCCAGAATTAATTTATTTATAACAGGACAGGAACAAATCAAAGGTATATGTTTCAGTTTTGTCATTCCAATATCCATATATTTCCATGCAGTGTATGAAATCTGACCGTCCGAGACGGTCTAGATTTCTGATGGACGGTCTAAATTTACAGCTAGCCAGCCCGATGGTCTGGTAAAATTTGTAGATGTTCCAAACATCTGAGTAAATTTACCATATTTGGTCTGGTTAAATCCTATTTGGGCTGGTAACTAAAATGTTACCTAACTAAAATGTTACCAGCCCTGATGTCTAGCTGGTTTTTGGCTTATTTCACACACTGTTTCCACGTCCTATGGGACACGTTGTGGATATTATTCACATCCGTTCATGATTGTTTTGCATACAGTATGTGGTACTGCAGTATTGCAATGTATACCCTGGGTGTAAAACAGTGTAAAACCCTGGGTTTGAAATCCCAGATCTGTTAGCTACAGCCCTCACCCATGGGTTTCACTAGACCCTGAAGTCTCTGAAATGAACATATTTTACCCCCCAAAAATTAAAATAAAATACAATAAAAAGGAACCCAGAGATGTTCTTCATTTTCAGAAACATTGGTAATCTAGACTTGCCACACATGTATGACAGACTAGGGTTTCACCAAAGTGGAGTATTCTTTAACCTGAGTCTCCTGTTTTCCCACATTAACATGGAGTAAGGTAATATACTGCTGAAGATGCATTGAACCCAGTCTCCGATCTTTTCGCCCTCCCACAAAACAGATCTGCACAAAGTATATGTTATGTCTGAATCTAGAAATCTATGGCAGTTACACACAAAAGGAATAAAGTAGACTGTTTTAGAAAGATTACATATGGTCATATGAAGTAAAAGATCTCACTTTCATTAACCCTTTGGATGCCTAAAAGAATTAAATGTCCCTTCTGTTCTACTCTCACTTTGAACCTAAATAAAACGCATCATCCCTACACACTCTTCATAATTGAATTTTGCAGGACCTTGTCTGTTTGGTTATATCATATACTGTGAAATTAGGTGACCAGATAGGAAATTCAATATTCTACATCCATGCATAATTTGACAGTTGGAGGTAGACCTAGTTCCACACAAGTCACTGGATCTTTCACTGTTCGCATCTTACAAAAGAGTGTCCGAAACATAAGTCTCCATCCAGGAGTCAAACCAAACTCACCACCTCATATGGACATCCTCCATCATGCACTGATTTAGAAAATAAACATTAAGACACTACACAGTTGTTGTATGATTTATTTACAAAAAGAAATTATACAAGGTTTGTAAAGATCAGAAATGTACAACCTGTATACTGAAAATGTATTTCTCACAAAGTCAAGAATGTATCATAAAGCCTTATATACAAAGTCAATAACCCAGGTATTGGACATAACAATACCCCATTATCTATGATGACAGTGTTATATTCAAGTACAATGCCCACAACTCACGAGAAGGGCTGGTGTGTTCAGTACAAATGGTCCACATAAAAAATTGTGTTTTCTTATTTAATAGCAGGAATTGATCATAAAGCATCAAACCTTTTAATAAACTACAACTAATGACAAAGCTATTGGTATTGCTAAGGGGATCGTCCCGTGATAATAAAAAAGCACCTGTTAAATCAGCACATTTAATCCAGTCTCACTCATCCATTTTCTACTATATATCTTGTTTTCCTGTTCCAAGTGGAGAAAGAGGGCCCCAGAAACTGCATATTCTAAAAGAAACTTTGGGCCAGGTGGTTACTATGGAGGGCTGTTGCATATACTGCTTGGATGGGGACACCAACAAGACTATATTAACTATGCCTAATTGGGGCATTGAACCTTGATGAATACTTTAGTGTTGGAGGAATAGTCCTGCTCTCCAACACTGCTTCATATTCAAGCACTGACCAATTCTCTGGTCTTCTTGAGTTAAAGCGTTTTGGATTTCAACTTCTTTATTAAAGTTGATAAGCGAAACATCTTCAACTAATGTCAACTGAACCCTTCAAAGGACCAGGTCTTCTTGTTTACAGCCAACTCACTATCATACTAAACAAAAAGCATGGGATCATGAATATTTTGGGAATTTTTATGGTTGTGAAAAATGAGGTTTTTTAAATATGTATGAAGTATAAAAATTGTTCATGATCCCTAACTTTTGTTGGACAGTGTATGTATGTATATAAGTGCCATGCACAGTTTGCATGCACAGAAATCATTTGCAGAGCAGTTTATTTTATCAAGGGATATACTGTATGTGCTGAACGTTGTGTTTCTACAGTTCCAAGATGTTCTTAAAGAGAACATTACTGATTCCCTCCCTACTCAAATCATGTTTCCCCTTCCTCCTGCCTTCTCCAGTCCTGATGTTACATTGGAGGCTGAGTGAGTGAGTGAGTGAGTGAGTGAGTGAGTGAGTGAGTGAGAAGCACTCATTAGTTTGCCTTTACAACAAGCATGGCGTATCTGGGGACCTTCTCTGCCTTACAATCTCCAGGTGCGCACACCCCCACATAACATTCAACTCCGGATATAAGCAGACACTATTAGGTGTTACACATCTGGCTCTTCTGAGGTATCCATGTAACACCCTGGTACTTCTCCTGAATTATACTTAAATCTTACAGTAAAAATCATAGGCTCTTCCCCCAATTTTCCTCTGTGCACTTCAACCATCGTATCCATGATCATCTCCATGAGATATGATGCTCCTGATTGCTGCCCATCGCTGACAGATTCCAATCCATCACTTACAGGTGGAGTACCTCATTGGCCAGGTCAGAAATACAGGGAAAAATACTGGTTAGAAATAGAGCAACATATGTGTTGTCAACGGTTGGTGATCCTCACTACATGACAATCTAATACAATGCATGTTAAATAAAATACTAGTTGATCTATTGATTTCTTTGAGTTTGAAATGCTCGAGTAGGGTGTGTGAACTTATAATGTGAAGTTGAGTTTGTATAGAGATATTTGTTTTCTCCAACCTGTTATGTCAGACATGACTTGATATACCAGACATATTATATCCAGAGCTGACTCTACCCATGGGTATTCAGACTAAATCTATAGAAACTATTCACTCATTCACACACTTATCTAATCATCTTTGCTGACAATAAATATTATGTCAGAGGAGTATCTTTGTGAAACAAGAGACAGAATATTGTGACCCTGATTTTTCTGTAGTTATGCTGGTGGGGAAATGTGGTAAGTTGTACATGGCAATAAATAATCATCCATACTTGATGAGTCAAATAAATCTCACTGCATATAATCATGATAATGATCATAACAATATACAAAATAGGGAAACAAAAAGGTTCACAAATCTATACACTTGCAATACTAAACACTAATTAACCAAAGCACTTCAGTTTGTAGGGATGTAACAGTATGTTAGTGGTCTGATAATGTCATCACATAAAGAAAAATCAAAGTCAATATTTTACAACTACAATGTCAAAAACATGATAATCATATATTCATGCATAAAACGTATAAACAATGTTCAGAGTTTCCAAACATTGGCTAAGTAAAGCAACCTCGTATCCAAGTTACTTGCCCTTCTTTGTAGCACTATCTGGGGGTAGATATACCCCCGGCGTGATTAAGCGAACTCACTCGAGGAGGAATATCTTCCAAACATACCATATAATCTAAACAGAATATTGTTTCAAAACAATTGTAAAATAAACAAGAACTTTAAACAAACCTGGTAAACATTTTATCTACAACTGAAATCATTGTAAATTATTGTATTATCAAATCACAAATTTATGGAAATTATGTCATATAGCTAGTCCAGGAACAATTTTAACTGATTTTAAATCAAAATGGTAAAGATACCAGTATTCCATGTAGGAAGAACACCATTTTCTCACAGCACCAACTGTACTCCTGAAACATACAGCTCCAACTTAAGACAATTACATTCTTATACTGTTACACAGCTGCTGACATCAATGTAACAAAACAGGTGTGTTCTTCAAAGTGCATATTTTGCCCTGTTATCAACTCCATATCAACATACATACTGGTATCCACTGTCTGAGGGAAGCAGTTATTCATATTGCAGCTTCCCTGCATATGGTATGTGTTAAGTAGTATAGACAATGGGGGTATGGAAACGGCTACCTAGCTATAGTTAAGTCCTTTCACCCCAATTCTGCCCCCACAGACCGCCCCAAAACCAGTCAAATTTGGTAGGTCCGTGGGGACAGAATTGGTATGAAAGGCCTTAACTGTCCCCATGACTCCTTGTCTATACTGCTGGCCATAAATGTACAATTAAAGAATGCACTCCTCAGATGGACCAAAGATACGACAACTACAATAGTAACAAAGCATATCATCTATGACTTCAGGGCTCATATTTGGGTAAACCTATGTTAACCCATGGATCCGTTTCCTGTTGTTTTTAAGATTTACCTGCCCTTGATTTTCATTAACTTCTGATTGACTACTCATCTCAGTCCAACAGACCAGTCTGACAGTTAGTTACAAACCAATCTCAGTCCAACAGACCAGTCTGACAGTGAGTTACAAACCAATCTCAGTCCAACAGACCAGTCTGACAGTGAGTTACAAACCAATCTCAGTCCAACAGACCAGTCTGACAGTGAGTTACAACCAATCTCAGTCCAACAGACCAGTCTGACAGTGAGTTACAACCAATCTCAGTGATGGGTTGGTGTTGACAATAATGCCACAACAGGGAAATGGAAAATCCACAGGAAGGAAGCAAGGCTTGAATGTACATTTACCAAAATACAAATGACAGAGCTACAGGCGATGAGGTAAAACATGTTCTACCAATAATAAAACTATAAACAAAATCATCAGAAAGGTCAGCATGATCAATGGAGCACAAATTTCAAGCAGGAATGTAAAATAGATTGAATGTCTGACAAAAAACGTAAAAATAACGTAACATGGTTTTCTTAACTACATATGGAACTGTTGTAGTTGGGTTGGTTAGATCGCTGACTTTGTGTGCTGGCAATTAGGTGCCTGTCTCTGAGTGTGTGTGTCTGAATCCTGGAAGGGACTCAAAACCCCCTAAGTAATAGAATCTGTAGTTTACCGTGAAAGTGAAATCCCCAAAATAACATACCCTGGTACCTTAAACTACACAGTTTGAAGGCATTTTGTGGTTAACAACTGAAGATGAACTGAAGCTCCCATTAACTGTACCAACCAGATATTTCATACACACAACCTGACCTTAAAAAACACTTGACCTTTCTGTATATGTAGACTTACCATTCTTACACATATAGCTACAGTGCCTTGCAATGTCACAAGGGGCAGCTATTATGGGATATCGATGAGGACCTTACCTCTTTAAGCTGATTATTGACATCAAATACAAATGTATCTGAGTAAGACAACATCTTACAAACAGCATGAAAAATAAATGGCTGAAAAGTCCCTTGTTTTAGGAAGGAGGTTTGATACATATTTACACACAAGATTGAACAACATGACTGGCCTGACTTCTGGCATATGCACCAGGTACGTTGGTAAGTTGACAAACATAAATGCAAGTAATACTTGGGAGATGTCGAGAGTGGTATACGAGTTCACAAGAAAATGGTTAATAAATTAGAAGAGTCTAGGATACCACATGAAGTCACTTTTTGTAACTCTGAAAATCTGCATGTATGTTAATTCATAATAAAGCTTTTAACTTAAAAAAAACAGCAACAAAAACACTTTCCAAATGTTTTAGTAGAAAAAAAGAGATTGATGTGATTTAAAAGAAGCCATCAAATAACTGTAAAGTACATCATAAAAGACAATATGGACAGACAATTTTATGTGTTGTTTCACAGATATTTCAACATGGATTTGATTTAGTTGCCTACAAGAAAAATAGTCTTCTTGTAATTTGTTATAAAAATCAATACAAAGGTGTTTAGAGTAAGAATACAGCTACACACTTTTATGAAAGTTGTGGTCATCTCTGCACTCAAGAAACAAGAGCATTGACAGGTTGGACAGAACACATAATATAGAGATAGATAGCCTGTTCCCCCAGGTTTCAGCATTGAGTAATTTGTAGATTTGTATTAAAAATGTGCAGCTTATCACATGATTGAACACTACTTGAAAAAAATATCAATTATAAAAGACATATTTTACAAATATATATTACAAAAAAAATTCAACATATCAGCATGAAAAGAGTGAGTGAGTAAGGTTTTACGTTACTTTTAGCAATATTCCAGCAATATCAAGGCAGGAAACACCAGAAATAGGCTGGACATATTGTACCCATGAAGGGAATTGAACCTGGGTCTTCAGCTTGACAAGCTGATGCTTTAACCACTAGGCTACCCCATCAACCCAGCATGAAAATGCCTTACTGTATAACACCAGGTATGATGGGTACCCTTTCTCAACGACTTCCTCTTCAGGTGAGTTGCTACAGAGGTATTTACTCAGTACTCAACAAAGCAAGGGTCTGAATGACCACTCTTTACTAAAGGTGTAAAGAAATTCTCATCAGACACTTGTACACGATTTAGGACCACAACAATAGCTGTCTGCCTGCAAACACGAGCTTTGGTACAGCCTGGTTTTTCTCAGCAGTATTTTCCTGTTAAATTCAATGAAAGCAATGTTGTGTAATATTCAGAGTGTCTATCAAAAGACTGGAAGTGGCACAGTATGAAGGGTCCGATATGTCATAGGTTAATTTGACACGATACATGAACAAGCAACTCACAACCACCACTAGCATCAGCAACAGACCCCAACCTGGCCAGCCAGACATTCCTTCATAACAAACACTGGGGAAAACAACCAACTTCCCATACATTTACTGACATTGTCGTTATCCAAGCCGATGTGACATACCATTCCGAATGCTAAAATTTACAATTACCACTAAATGTTATAACGCACCTGAATTTCCTAATTGTGGTTGTCATTTAGGCACCATCATGTGTTGAAGATGGATCCCATTGTTTGACAAAAGGGAGACAGTTTGGTATATTTTACCCTTTACTCATATAATCTCTCCTGTGATATCCAAGAAGTTTGTGTTTTATATAAGGACCTATGTTTAAACATTGAATGAGGTATTCCTATCAAGTTGGGGTACCTTGCACTACTCTTCCCACTAACTCTGATGGAAACCTGTCCCTACTTAACCCACTATTTTTCACTGGTGAATTCTTCTGCAAATGGAACCACATCTGAGCTGTCCCTGGCTGTTGTATTCCTGCTCCACATTCAAGCCAGGCCCTAGGGTACTATACAAACTGATGTACAGACATAGTGTCACAAGCACTGGAAAGGATATAGTCGTGATAATAATTATGGCACCTTTGGAATTACGAACAGCAAATCTTGGAAACACAACACATTGCATTGGTTTTGAAAGATACATGAACAAGATATCAAATCATTTCTACAGGTAATTATACTTTTTTTCACACAAGTTCCTCTCATATAATTCATTCTCTAATAATCATGAAGTTATCTTGGATTCAAGATTAAATAAGTGACGTTAAAATAGGAACAAGCGGCCACTTGACAAGTGTATATTGTACAGAGTAATTTGTATGATGTACTTACATGAATTGTATTAAGTAAACCTACCTTAGTTTATTATGATCAATGTCTAGGCTCAGTTTCTATATTTCTATCTCTAACATGGGTCTCTAGCAAACATGGTAAACAAGGAAATAAAAGCATGTCCTCGCTACATGAATATAGTCACATATATACAGGAGAAACGTCAACTTACTGTACAACATTTAACTCTTCCAATTATACAGATTTCAGATTATATTTTTACACTGTAGGGCTCTACCATTTCTGAAATATGTTCATTTAAATATGTCATGTAAACAATTCAAGGTGATCAAGCCTTGATACTTTTTCTGCCTGAGGAAAAATTAAAGAAAAAGCCTTGTTGCCTGGCCATTTTGAAATTAACTTCTGTTGATAAACACCTGTTTTTATAGCCTCTCATGATATTATAGAATAACACTGTCAAAACAAAATACTGGAACATACATGTTGCATCGAAATACAAAGAAGTCTTACAACTCTGTAGCCATCTTCATTCCAGTAATGTGCCCAAACCCTGTAAGCTTCATTTATCAGATATACAGAATTATGTGTGATATTTAACATGACATTTCAGCATTATCAAATAATAATTAGGTGTATCTACACAACAAAGCAATGCATAAATACAGTGAGTTATGTTTTCACATCATATCATCCACTTTTCATATATACCATCCGAATTCTGGACACTTGATCAAAATACCGGCATCACTGTCATTGTTTCCTGTTATAGACATGTTTACATGCCCACATTTGCTGATATCTGTTACCATAGTGGCCATGTTGGTGTGTCAAGGGAGATAACTCCACGTCGTTAGTGGCTGAACTCCATCCCCGTCCTGACTTAGATATGATGACAAACCGTAACAAAACTCATGCTTCTACCGCTTGATCAGCCGAATAGAGTTGGACTTCTTTGGAACAAGAATAGCAGCAACTGGAAAAGAACAAAAAGAACAAAAAAACCGTTTAAACTCCAGACAGATGTTACCAAGGACAATCACAATGCCCACTGGGGGCATGGTGGGCGAGCTGTCTAAGGCACCCTGCTTGAAAGCGAAAGGTGCCTGGATCGATCCCCACTTGTTACCTTGGAGCTAACATTACTTGCAGGTTCTTTCAGTGTTGTCACAACCCCTAGTGTGCAGTACACAACCCTGTGCACTTAAAAGAACCCACTCATCCGATGGTAGGTGACCATATGGTGGACACACGAACAAGTGCAGACATCTAGTTTGAGGGTATTGTAACGTGCAGAATCATTGACAAAATACTGTGTCCCAGTCCACCCAGCGGCAAATGGGTACCTTGTGAGGATGAGGCTCGGTGATAACTCGCTTCGGGCTGCATGAGTTGAATACTCCCCAGGGAGTTGAGTTGGTTCAGAGAATGCCAGAAAAAAGACATCCGTTGATCAAGAGAACACTCCAGCGCCTTGAGCATGTACTAGCTATATGCGCACTATACAAACATCCTATCCTATGAATTGTTGGGCTATGAAAACGAAGGATTTTCATTTGTCTCTCATCTCATGTACAGCAAGTGAAAAGTGAAGACATACCATGACAACCAGTTAAAGAAAGTGCCCTGGGCACATAATTCTGTATGTTGTACTATGAAGTAATGACTACTTACGTTTACTGTCTTGTGGAGTAAGGGGCATGTCGATCACTTTGTTGAGTGTGTCCACCCATTTGTCCATCTCTTCCTTAGTCTCTGCCTTCAACACGAACTTCCTGTCTGGCGTGTGTAGAGTGAAGCAGAATGGACTGCTCCCTGTTGGCTTGTCTTCTGAAGCCCCTGTCGTTACATGGTACCCAGCATCACGATGACCAATGAAAATCTCCCCTTTAGGAAAAGCATTCTGCAGCAGGAGTGAAAGAAATTTAATCTTGCCATTTTATAGACAAAAATAGTATTCACCTATGAGGCTTTAAGAATTATGAGCCTACATGTTTGTGGCACAGGAGGCTAGACACACAGCTTTATTACTCTTAAGATAAATTTGTCGAATTCTGATTGGTCAAAAGCCGAAGCATACCAAACCATGTAGACAGATTTGCCAGAGTGTACAAACCGTACACTTTGTCAAATTTGTTCAGTGACACACTACACGGGTTGTACAAATGACCTTGACCTTAGATGGAATGTGGCTGCCAAACGGCTGATCGCTTCGAAATTTTAGGGTTGGTTTATACAATTATGAGTATAAACAGAGTAATAAAATTGTTGCCACAATTTCTTATTTGTTTGTGTCAATAAATATATTAAAAAAATATAATGTTTCTGTATTTCACTTGTTGTATAACAAAACCTCAAATTCGATAATTTTCACAATGTGTGAAGCCCATTTCTGGTGTCCCCCGCCGTGATGTTGCTGGAATATTGCTAAAAGCGGCGTAAAACCAAACTCAGTCAGTCGATAATTTTCATCATAAACTAATCCATCCAAAATTATCTCGCTTCATGACCGTTCATGAAACATCATGGCGAAATGTTTTGCATCTCATTCTGCCGATGGTTGAATGTTGTTGTTTAAAGATAAGCTAAAAAAAGATAAAGGGTAATAAACTCGTCACACGGTGTTTTGAAAGGGTGTACGGGACTGTAAGACCCTTGTAAATTCAAAACACTGTATAACTAATAGTATCGAGTGTATCTGTATTCATACAGTACAAGAGGCTAGATACTTATCTGGATTCACGATGGTACTGGGTTAGTTTCCATGGTAATCATGGTAATAATATTTTGGCAAGGAAAATTAAAACAAACTACAAGTGCCTACCAGTGGGTCTTCATAATACATGAGCTTGCGCTTGTCAAGTGTGAACCATCGCCTCTTGAAAGGTTCATTGCGTGGCCCCATCTTGTTCAGCCATCCCTCTAACATGAAGTCACGTGTCAAGTCCTCTGCCAGCTGGGAAGAAAAGACAGAGACTATCAGAAACCACACGTAAACACTAAACACCTCGACATGAATCGCCACATACAGTGAGACGATGCATGTCAGAAAACTATATACATCATGATGGATATGACATAAATTATTGACACTCCATTTGTCTTGGAAGGATGACTGGATACGTTTTCTATAATACCCAAAGCCTTCGTGTATGCTAATGGATGCAAATCTGAGATGAATATATGAATCCATGTTTACAGATAATATGTTGGACACAGAGTATCAGCAGACATTCTGTATCGAAATTCATTCCTCAACATAGTCATATAAAACATACATCAACATTTTCAAACTTGTGTTTGACTAACTCTTCCTTGTCCACAGAAAAAGCATGTGTGAACAAACTCAATACCTGTAAGCTATACCTCTCTACATCTCTGATTTTTATGTAAATGTGTCATCCTTTCTCAGCATGACATCAAACTGTGGGCCATATTTATATATTACCTTTTGCAGGTGTGTGTCAGTAATGTCTGCGACACAGACAGGAGGCTGGCCTATGTTTAACCTGTCATACACCCATGGGACGAGGGAGAAACCAGGTTCAGTTGAGAGCAACTGGATGCAAGTTAAATCAAGTCTTGTTCAATAATATTTTAAAAGGTTGCCCTCACTGTGTACACAACACTTGACTAATACAGCTTTTGTTGGTTCACCCTACCTGACATATCTAATTTGAATAGCTTGGAATTTCCTGGTTTTGATTACATAAAAGTTGCATAACACGTTAAATGAGGGGAATTGAGTTTGAAAAAAACCCTTGCCTTCATTCAGTCTCCAGTCTAAGTGCTTGCTGATTAAAGGAAATGTGGTGCTACATTTCAAAGGTAGGGCTACTTGGATTAATGTCAAGACACATTTAGGAAGTCTGCACTTCCATTCATTTTCTGATGCAATTCATTTCCTGTCGTGCACACTCACTAGTTGAGTGAAATGCATTACCTAGATACAGCAGTGTCAGGAAAGTAGCACATGATAAACCTCCACGTGTACGGCACTTCATACTAAGTCATGGTAAGGGTCACTTCAAATGTTGTGATCTGTCCATCCAATCAAGTTCATAATTAGGAGTAGCTCAAGATCCTCTTAAGTCAAGTAAAGGGTATGTTGTTGGGGAAATAAATACCACTTCCAGGGAAATAAGGACTGAAAGTTCCGAGGACAGGGAAAATACATCAACCACCTAAGGGAGATGACCCTGTCAGTACACAACCCATCTGAAGCCAGACGTATCTTTGCTGTGGCAAACCCCTCTACTTATGTATGTTACTACAATTTCCCAACAATTTCTACAGCAAGAAAAGCTCTTTTTGGCCTACTGGACATGTTAAATTACAGAAATGGTTAACAAATTCAATATTGGTATGAAAATTATCAGACATGTTCAACTAGCTGCTATGTAGAAGCTTTTCTTTCTTAGACATACCAGATTTAGACTTCTGACATGGTGAAATAAATAGAACCGGCAAATATGACCGGAAACTTCTGATTTGTGATTACCTTACATTCATACTGTTGCAATTTACATCTACACAGATGCATGAGCTGGGGTCAAATACTTCCTCATCTCCAAACATTTAAAAAACACTTCCCCATAATATCACAAATCAGCCCTTTTGACTCTCACTCTCACTTACATCTTAACCTTCCTCCCTGTGAAAGAACCTTCAGATTGACCCATGTTTATTCATCATTGACATGGAAACCAACTGCAGCTGTACTTACTGTGTCGAGGTCTCTGTCTGGGAATGCTATCCTCCTGCGTTCCAGCTTGGCTGCACGGATAGCATGGTACCAGTCAACAATGTCCTGCCAACACATGGCTCAGTATCAACAACAATACCTACATACCTGGAGACTTACATAGCATGGTACCAGTCAACAATGTCCTGCCAACACATGGCTCAGTATCAACAACAATACCTACATACCTGGAGACTTACATAGCATGGTACCAGTCAACAATGTCCTGCCAACACATGGCTCAGTATCAACAACAATACCTCCATACCTGGAGACTTACATAGCATGGTACCAGTCAACAATGTCCTGCCAACACATGGCTCAGTATCAACAACAATACCTACATACCTGAGACTTACATAGCATGGTACCAGTCAACAATGTCCTGCCAACACATGGCTCAGTATCAACAACAATACCTCCATACCTGGAGACTTTACATAGCATGGTACCAGTCAACAATGTCCTGCCAACACATGGCTCAGTATCAACAACAATACCTACATACCTGGAGACTTACATAGCATGGTACCAGTCAACAATGTCCTGCCAACACATGGCTCAGTATCAACAACAATACCTACATACCTGGAGACTTACATAGCATGGTACCAGTCAACAATGTCCTGCCAACACATGGCTCAGTATCAACAACAATACCTACATACCTGGAGACTTACATAGCATGGTACCAGTCAACAATGTCCTGCCAAAACATGGCTCAGTATCAACAACAATACCTACATACCTGGAGACTTACATAGCATGGTACCAGTCAACAATGTCCTGCCAACACATGGCTCAGTATCAACAACAATACCTACATATCTGTAGACTTACATAGCATGGTACCAGTCAACAATGTCCTGCCAACACATGGCTCAGTATCAACAACAATACCTACATACCTGGAGACTTACATAGCATGGTACCAGTCAACAATGTCCTGCCAACACATGGCTCAGTATCAACAACAATACCTCCATACCTGGAGACTTACATAGCATGGTACCAGTCAACAATGTCCTGCCAACACATGGCTCAGTATCAACAACAATACCTCCATACCTGGAGACTTACATAGCATGGTACCAGTCAACAATGTCCTGCCAACACATGGCTCAGTATCAACAACAATACCTACATACCTGGAGACTTACATAGCATGGTACCAGTCAACAATGTCCTGCCAACACATGGCTCAGTATCAACAACAATACCTCCATATCTGGAGACTTACATAGCATGGTACCAGTCAACAATGTCCTGCCAACACATGGCTCAGTATCAACAACAATACCTACATACCTGGAGACTTACATAGCATGGTACCAGTCAACAATGTCCTGCCAACACATGGCTCAGTATCAACAACAATACCTCCATACCTGGAGACTTACATAGCATGGTACCAGTCAACAATGTCCTGCCAACACATGGCTCAGTATCAACAACAATACCTACATACCTGGAGACTTACATAGCATGGTACCAGTCAACAATGTCCTGCCAACACATGGCTCAGTATCAACAACAATACCTCCATACCTGGAGACTTACATATCACGGGCTACTTGCTGGAACTGTTTGTGATAATGTGTCTTGAAAACCCTGACACATTCAGCATGTTTAGAGTGAATGAGTGAGTGTAGTTGTATGCTGCTTTTTGCAATATTCCAGCAACATTACGGCGGGGGACACCAGAAATGGGCTTCACACACTGTGCCCATGTGGGGAATCGAACCCGGGTCTTCGGCATGACGAGCAAACGCTTTAACCACTAGGCTACCCCACAGCCCCTCAGCATGTTTAGAAGGATGCGTGACTCAGAGTTAAAATGACTATAATATATGACAATGAATCTCATACATTCACTGAGCAATCAGCTTGTGAGTAGTCAGTCATGAATCATGGATCTCCATATAGTCCTTCATTCTCGAAAAGGTAACATGGCTCTTATTCTTCCCATGAGTGAAAAGTTAAAAGATACAATTTTTCTATGATAAATCTGCAATCAAAAAGTCTATTGCCTTCAGCCTTACAGCACGATGAAAGGGATGTAAAGATAGCTGTTGGACTACAAAACATAGTAGTCTCTTCCTCCCAATAAAGTGAAGCAACAGTAAATGAAGTGGACATACTCTTGAGCTTTCTGAATGTACAAACAAGCTTCTGGTGGAGCCATTCTTGTAAAAGGTAATCTGCATGCCATAGGGGTGACCTATCTTCTCAGGTACAAACACTGCGTTCACCTCATCCAGGTCTATCTCTGCCTTAGGTCGAGGTGCCTGAAACAATACCATCACTTCAGGACTTGTTCAGGATTCACAAGCTGTACCGGCACAATCTGGCCACCAGTTCTTGTCTAAGGACAAGTGTCTAAATGTTCTCTATGTGATATATTGGGTAAATGATGGACAGGTAGACATAATAATAGGACCAAGTCTCTGAAACATCACCATCTCAATACTTTCAGAATATCTAGAGAGGTACAACCTATAACTCCACAATCTAGGCACTATTTACACTAGTTCCTGTCAAGTGCCATTTGCTAAATGTTGTCTATGACAAGTTGTGGATAAACCTTGATATTTAGAATGTTGAATTGATATTGTAAACATCAGGCAAAAAAAGGTATACCAAACATATTCTAAACATTTCAGGGCACACAACACTACATTTCCCTAAATGTTTTGAATGAAACAATTATTTGAAATTGACCACTGGTTAGATTTGTGAAAAAAGAGTTTTTCTTCATTTGCTGTAATATCGTTATGAGTTCAATCATTGTCAAATATAGATTAGATACTGCTGGTACACCAACAAGGGCCAGCTTGTACAGAGCTACCCAACTTACAATCGATCAACTTTGCAATGGTCATGCCTCAGGCGAATATCCACTTGCACAAACCAAACTTAGTTCAATTGTAAGACTGCTTGGTGTTAAAAGCACAATCTCTGACAGGATCAAAATCTTCAACGGTGGAAAAGTAATTACCTAAAAACTGACTTGTGTTAACAATTATCTGCAGAAGTGCATTGCTTGCTTAACATACTAACAGCACAACTGGGTACAAGCATGACAACAGCGAAACTGGGTACAAACATACCAACATCAGGACTGGGTACAAGCATACCAACATCAGGACTGGGTACAAGCATACCAACAGCAGATCTGGGTACAAACATAGCAACATCAGGTCTGGGTACAAGCATACCAATATCAGGACTGGGTACAAGCATACCAACAACAGATGTGGAAACAAGCATACCAATATCAGGACTGGGTACAAGCATACCAACAGCAGATCTGGGTAAAAGCATATCAACAGCAGGATTGGGTACAAGCATACCTACAGCAGATCTGGGTACAAGCATACCAACAGCAGAACTGGGTACAAGCATACCAACAGCAGATCTGGGTACAAGCATACCAACAGCAGATTGGGTACAAGCATACCAACAGCAGATCTGGGTAAGAGCATATCAACAGCAGGATTGGGTACAAGCATACCTACAGCAGATCTGGGTAAGAGCATATCAACAGCAGGATTGGGTACAAGCATACCTACAGCAGATCTGGGTACAAGCATACCAACAGCAGAACTGGGTACAAGCATACCAACAGCAGATCAGGGTACAAGCATATCAACAGCAGAACTGGGTACAAGCATTCCAACATCAGGACTGGGTACAAGCATACCAACAGCAGAACTGGGTACAAGCATACCAACAGCAGAACTGGGTACAAGCATACCAACAGCAGAACTGGGTACAAGCATACCAACAGCAGATCTGGGTACAAGCATACCAACAGCAGAACTGGGTACAAGCATACCAACAGCAGATCTGGGTACAAGCATACCAACAGCAGATCTGGGTACAAGCATACCAACAGCAGAACTGGGTACAAGCATACCAACAGCAGAACTGGGTACAAGCATACCAACAGCAGAACTGGGTACAAGCATACCAACAGCAGATCTTGGTACAAGCATACCAACAGCAGAACTGGGAACAAGCATTCCAACAGCAGAACTGGGTACAAGCATACCAACAGCAGAACTGGGTACAAGCATACCAACAGCAGAACTGGGTACAAGCATACCAACAGCAGATCTGGGTACAAGCATACCAACAGCAGAACTGGGTACAAGCATACCAACAGCAGAACTGGGTACAAGCATACCAACAGCAGAACTGGGTACAAGCATACCAACAGCAGAACTGGGTACAAGCATACCAACAGCAGAACTGGGTACAAACATACCAACAGCAGAACTGGGTACAAGCATACCAACAGCAGAACTGGGTACAAGCATACCAACAGCAGAACTGGGTACAAGCATACCAACAGCAGAACTGGGTACAAGCATACCAACAGCAGAATCTGGGTACAAGCATACCAACAGCAGAACTGGGTACAAGCATACCAACAGCAGGACTGGGTACAAGCATTCCAACTGTGGCACCAGTTACCATATACTAAATGCACCTCTTTCTATCACACCCTGCACTTACACAGGCTGTATTAAATAACCAGCACTCGGATGATGGCCGATAGTTTGCATTGACATTGTGTACAGAAACTGAGAGTATGATATGGCAAAAACAGAGAAACCTTACCCATGTTCTGTGAAAATATTGAAATACAAATACACAGATCAAAATTTGGCTCTTACTGACATAGAAGTTATATCAAATAATAATATAACATAACATAGAACTACCACCATCCACAGTATGAAAAAAGATTAACTACCCTTGAAACAAAGGGATGCACAGGAAACATAATACACTGGGCTGCTCAAGCCCACTATAAAACACTACTTGTCGCTTGCAAATTCAATAATTAATTTAAAGAATAACACAAGTTAGTGCAGAACAATATGGTGGAGATAAAGGAACTCACTTTGCTTGATTCTTCTATCACAAAATACTGAAGTTTGTTTTCTGGCCTAGAAAGAACAAATTTCCTTTGTTGGAAGAGTTTTCTATCACGACCAAGTTTTAATAAAAGTCCTTCTTTCTTTGCACAATTGTAAGATTCCTGCTTGTCTGCATCAGTGAATTCCAGACGCTGATATTTGGCGAATATCCATTCCTTCTTCAACACACTGAAAGTCAGACACCATCAGAGATACAATAATAGACATCAAAGCGATGAATCATTTGGTAAGTTATGTTTATAACTGATAATTACATGACAATCTCCACAAAAATGTAAGTACTCTCAATTTGCCTTCAATAATCAAACCCCAAATACATATATACAAAACAGAATGCAGAAGTGCAAATCAAGATCATCAGGACCCAAATCCCATTCTACATTATTTCATCTTGTCAGTCATTACAAAAAAACACACAATAATCAACAGTGACATCAATATATCAAACTTATTACTGCAGAAGTATTCATTTATATCAAGTACTTACTCCACACTCTCCTTCTGTGGTCGTCTGTAGAACGGGGGAACGTGCAGTTCATACCTCTCCTTCGCCCTGTTGTTGCCGATCCCCTGCATCAGCTGAAGAAACATCAAACACTGTCTACAGATAGCATAAAACTATTTGAATTCACAATTATAATACTTGGATTTGCTTCACAAAAGCAGCTCATAAAATATTCTCAAATTTTGTAGGTGTTTTAAAATCTTTCAGTCCCATCAGTTATTTATAACCAGCTTTTGGAATATGACTGTAAACTTTAAATTTGTCTTCATTGTCTGGATGCTGATGTACAAAGTGATCTTAGCGCTAAGGTGTACACACTTTAAATATGTCTTAATTCCCTGGGTGTCATGTACGAAGCAATATTAGTGCTAAGGTGTACACACTTTAAATATGTCTTAACTCCCTGGGTGTCATGTACGAAGCGATATTAGCGCTAATATGTCTTAATTCCCTGGCTGTCTTGTACGCAGCTAAAGTGATCATACACCCATATCTCAACGCCAGACTTACAAGTTACGATGGTTAAGGTAGCAATGTACAATAGCATTTGGTTCTTCAAATAAATGAAAGAGTATATTACTACCAATCATTATGTGTGTGTAATGAGCATTCCAGATGTTATACATCATAATCATTTCACAGACAGTTTAAATGAAGTAAGCTCAACTATCCATATGAATGACAGAGAAGGAAGGAAACTACAATATAACTGGAATGTGTAGAAAGTAACACATAAACGCTGTAACAATGAGAGACATGAAAGAGGAAATCTCTCCTCCCTACTTTACTGCAGGCTGTGTATACAATGTGATGAGTGGCATGTATTTCAGTGTTGACTAAATAGGGAAATAGACACCTCCACTTGGTCAGAGTCCCAGTTGTCGAGGGTGACGGACTTGACTCGACTGACACTGTTGAGAGCACGGTGCATCCCTGCACAGTCCTGACACAGGAAGATCCCAATTGTCGAAGATGCCCATGTCGGACCTGCAACAACAAGAATTCATCATTCATGAGCAAGAAATCCTACATCAATTGTTTCATTATGCTCAACGGAATGATAAAGAACATCTACGCCACTTACTTATTCTACACAATAAGACATTAAACTACCACAACCTTATCTTCCCTATTACTTCAGTATTCTTAACAAAACTAAGTACACAAACAAAATCAAAAATAGAAGAAAAAAATACTTTAATGATATAACTGTCAGTAATATGGCTCGCACAAAAGGACATTCAATCACATATTCAAACTACCAGACAGATAAGGGAGATAACTCAACAAGACATCACTTCCACCACATATTTCAACACTACAAAACTCTTGATTCAGCTCGTCTTCTGACTTTTCATCTCTCAGACTCAATTTTCATTAAATATCTAACATAAACTGTCGCATACTTTACATGATTTTTCACCTCTAGATAGATTTATAAACAACCCAAGGTGTCAACATCATAGCATTCTGTGATATACTCCCAGTCTTGTGATGCTTGCCCATTTGTTCTGTACCTAAACTTGGGCATATTTCAGTTCAAACATAAGAAATATAGTATTCCCAGAAATTATTGAGAAAGTTGTTTCGGCAATATTAATACATGTATATAAACTACAGAAGTTTTACTTAATTGAATATGTTGAGATATGATTCTCTTACAGACTCTCTTAAGTGTCTTTTCAGTACTTTGTGAGACCTCCTTGCCCTGCAATATACGACTGAATGCACCTAGTTACACTACCAATCAAAGTTTGTAGGAAATCGTGTGACAGCGTATCCCAATATTTGACCACTTCTTTCTTCATATCCTCAATATTTCCTAGTCCTTTTTGGTTTATTCTGTCCTTCATTAGTCCCCACACATTCTCAATAGGTTTAAGATCTAGGCTGTAGCTGGGCCTGTCTAAACCTGGAACATTTTCGACCGACAACCAGTTGTTTGGTAGTTCACAGTGTGTTTTGGGTCATTATCAAGCTGGAAAATCCAATTATCTTCACACGGTGTTCGGGCCGTTGGAAGGTGGTGATCATTTAAGATGTCAATATATCGTTCCTTCGTCAAATTTCAAGTAAAAATACACAACAGTGTCACTCCATGTGATGATATCCCACCCCACATGTGAAATTTCGGGCTATGTTTTAGGCATTGGTAGATAGGTTTCATGGTATCTTTTGTCCAAATTTTCACACAGTTCGGAAAAGGCCAGACAGAACTTTCATCAGAAAAGAAAACATTATCCCAATCTTGACTTTCGTGAGCCCTACACCAGTTTAAACTTGTTTCTTTTTCTGCATCTTTCATCAACGGTGAGGGAATTCCGCGCTTTTTCAACCAGATAAGTCTTTGTAATTCTTATCTAAAGCCTCCATTACATACCAGAGGACTTCCTCTATTAATCATCTCATTTCTGATATTCTCAATTTTCTCCAACTCACAATCTGACCAAGTCACCGGCGATCCGTAGTACTGGACTTCCTTGGCCTCCCTGCCCCTGTCTTGTGCTCAATCCCAACTCCTGACTGAATATTCTTCAAAGTTCTGTATACTGTAGACAGAGGAGTGTCATGTCTACCAGCTAATTCTTTTGCATGAGTCACACCCCTTTCAAAATCATTTAGAATCAGTTTTCTTTACTCTTCTGCTGTCAAATCTGTCAACAAAGGAAACCATCAACAAGGGGGATAACTCTTGATGTAGTAAGGTTCTGCTACACCAGGGGAGATAACTCTTGATGTAGTAAAGGTTCATTCTTAAGCCTACAAGAAGTTGCCTCCCATATTGAGAAAAACCTTACTACATAATGTAACACCTATTTTAAAATTCTATTGCTTGAATAAATTTGTACTGTAGGAAACAAAGATTTTCTCAATAATTTCTGGAAAAACTGTATATATTTATAATATCGTGCAGAATAAATTTGAAATTGTCCAGAATAAACTTGCAACTGTCCACCTGTAATATCATCCAAAATAGACTTGTAATTGTCCAGAAAAAACCTTTTTATTGTCCACAAATCAAACAACGCAACCTCCTTATTCAGCATGTTCACAAGCATAGCAACTTGGTATTTTTTACAAAGTAAACTGACACACAATATAATGTAACAAACAAATACAGATTTGTATCATATTTCTGCCCACGCTAAGAAATGTGATCAATGAGCGCAGTTTCCAAGATCCCCAGAGTTTAGAGTGAATTATATCTCAGTTCTATCAAAAACCCTGTACTCACATATTATCAAGTGTGGTAGGGTCGCCTAGGGGTTGAAGTATTTGCTTGTCTCAACAAATACCTGGGCTTCAATTCCCAACATGTTTACAATGTGTGTAACCCATGTCTGCCCTGATACTACTTTGGAATACTGCTAAAAAAAGGGTTAAACTATAGTCACGCATTCACTCTTGTATTACCATAACTTTATTTGGGAAGAGATGCCACTATCTCACTATCTCACCATCAGTAACTACTAGCAAACAAGGATAAGTTGGACCGGCGCAGAGAACACGTTTACGATAAGGAGGCGGTGTATGGCAATGAGCAAACCCATTTGGTTTGTGAAAGGTAGAGCAGATGTAGGCTGGTGCACATGCAGTGCCTGACAAAATTGATTCTGCACACGCCTTGCTCATAAGACTCTCACGTGGTCGGTGTAGCACTACACTTGATGTGGACAACCTGGGGCCCCTTCGCTCACAATGGTAAGCGCCAGTGGGCGGCACTCATACATGCTAATATGGGTCAATTCTCAGGTCAGTTCTCAACTTATCCTTGGTTGCCAGTAACCACTAACATTCGTTTACACACAAGTTTGTCAGTTTGAAATCTGCAACCAATGAAAGTGAAGCTTCTGAAAGGATTTGGCATAGAAATACATTCCAAGAGGTATGCCCTTTTTACCATGTGAGTTGATTGGTTAGCTACCACTTCACATGAAACTGGTAGCAAATTGGTCTATGATATTTATCAGATTAGAATTTACAATTAGGAACACAAGACTAGAATAACAATGAATAATTGAAGATCACATTATCCTCTCCCATTTGTTCAGGCAATATGGGGTTCATATTTTGGCCTTGTAATGTCAAAGAGCCAGTGGGATAACATAATATTTATGCTGAAAACCAGGGTCCGATTCCCAACATAGTTACAATGTGTGAAGCCCATTTTGGTTCTCCCTGTTGTGTTATTACTGAAATATTACTATAGTATAGCTAAAAGCCGTGTAAAACCATTCTCACTGAAATGTAAACCAAATATAAATATTTCCATGTCTAATATGCCGTTAGTCAGAATGTGCTCACAATTAAAGTTCTCTAGCACAAGCAGTGTAAACATTTCTTTGATCTTCAAATATACATAAATGTGCAAAAACCAAATTCTAGTGAATCCATTTCAGCCTGTCATGTCAATGAATAACATGGTGAAACAATCATTTCAGTTTTGGTAATCAACAACTTGAGGATTCTGAATGGACAAAGAAAATGGCCAGAACTGCACTATCTAGTTTAGTGCACCCCATCACATACACCCAATATTGTTACCGGTACATATTCCTACAAAAATATTCTTGGTGTCAGAGGGGATGTACAAATAGATTTGTAGCTTTGTCATGGGAGCCATGACATAGCTAGCTTGACATACTGCTAATACAATCCAAGTTCAAATATATTGGCAAGTTAGAAGTCAACGAGTTAGTTCCACCCAAGTCTACTGGCCATGTCTTTAAACTAGTTGTATCACTAAGTGAGTCAACAGATCAAGCAGTAAGAAAAAAAATCATCCAAATTCTTATTCTGTTCTACATATGGAAAAATTCTTATATATGTTGCATTGGTGTCGGTAAAACCAAGTATGAAATAACCCAGAAGTCCAACATGGTCCCTCATACTATTCTTTTCATTCAGGAGAGAAACATAATTCCATTCATGAAAAGTATTGTGTTTTCTTCCGCTTTGGTTACTGAACATGATTTCTCTAAACGCAGTTTGGGAATGATCAGCACAGACGTTACAAGGTCTCCAATGATGTTGATGTCCCTACAGATTGTCACAAACTCTCTAATTATGTCTACTGCTCATTATGTTATGACTGAGGTAGAAGTGATCTTCTATGAAGATTAACTCCTGCATTCATGAAATCAAGTGCTGTTATTGTGATTCTAAATCAGTCAGAATGTATAGTTTCCAAATGTCTTGGTATAATATACAACATAATCAGCTTGCTTTAACAATGCTGAGATATATATTTGCATGACAGCAGATTTTCCCTAAGAAAGCACTGCAGCATGTTATAATGGGCATGTTTGTGGGTTCAGCCTACTGCAGACTGCATCCATTACATCACAGTAATTTAGGACTTCAGTTCATCCAGTGCAGTACAGAACGTAGGTATGATTCCCAGCATGTCTGACCACATGGTCCTGTTAGCTTCCAACAAGCATAGGTTGCTGAAGACCAATTCTAACCCGAATCTTCATGGGTATATATATCTATAGAATGAAAAGTATATCTAAACAAAGCCAAAAACAATCCGTAATGTCATCATTCTAGACTTGAGTCCTACTATATCCTGTAGTTCTGGGAGACATGTGCGCTCCATGCCATAGCTGGAATAACCCCAGATAATATGTTGACAGACAATGACCATTACTAACAGGGAGGAGCCAAGCCATAACTGCTGATTATCTCAGTCTACAATATACATGCATACATATGGTTGCACACCAATACAGTTACTACTGATTGTAACATATTTATCAAGTAGTTATCAAGTCTCGATGGTGTGGCAATCATTGTAATGGCAGTCTTGCTACTGCCAGCACATACAATCTGTTTTATGAAACCAGTTACCGCTGCATGTAGTCTTGACAGGCAATATTCACATGCTGTAACAATGTTTTTAGTTTGTTGTTTTTCGCCACATTAAGCAATATTGCAGCTATATGACAGCAGTCTGTGAATAGTTGAGTCTGGACCAGACAGTCCAGTGACTGACATCATGAGCATCAATCTTCGCAACTGGGACAGGATGACATTGCTTTCACATTGTGTTTGATGAAGCATTGAGTGATCAAGTGACGTGAACATTATTTCCGTACTACCATTGTCTGGTGACTTCATAGGGTGGGAAGAAAAGGCAAAGGGGATGCAAATCAGAGAATTGTCAACTTGGTGAAGTCTGTCAACACAGATAGGATCATATCATCATGAAAATTAGAGCAAATGTGTGATCTGAAACCATGATCAGCAGATCCTGATACTGCTAAGAGATGCAACCCTGACACATTGAATTTCAGCACTAAAATAGGCTACTGGTCCAGTGTTGCCCTAAAAGAGATCTGATGTGTCAGTTGGCAGTATAAGTGTGCATACAGTTGACAGCTGACTGAAGTCAGGACAGTCCATCAGCATAATACGTGATATTTACATCGTCTAACATTTCTACAAAATGAAGAAATGCTGTATTTGTTAAGTAATATCTGAAAAGGACATGAAATAAGTACAGGACATGAAATAAGTACAAAGGTCTTTTCACTGCAAACATTCATGTCAGAAGTAACAAGAGGTCAGAAGGTCAGGGCCTAGATTTTCGAAGCTCTCTTAGCGATAAGATAGTCGTAAGTTAATGTTAATGTATTCCACTTACGACTATCTTAGCACTAAGAGAGCTTCGAAAATCTAGGCCCAGGTGTGTTGCAAGTTGTCCCTCACAATAAAGAAGACCTTGTTTAGGTGCAAGTCCTTGCCTCCACAGCCAAAGCAATGACTCTTTCAGCTTTGACAAGCTGAGAGATAATTGACACAAAAGATAAATAAGCAAAAGCTTTGGTCTGCTATCTGTTGACAGTTTGACTGTTTGCCTATTTTCTCCAATATCAAAAACTGTGAATTGATGAAAGTTTCCAGGACCACCCCACAAACAACCTATTCCAATCAGGGGTGGATACAGCTTTTTGAGGAAAGGTGGGGATGCACACTCCATTTACACAGTTTTCACAAGAGTTTCAATGGTCATCTAAACTTTCAGGACATGAAAAGGGTGTGTGTGTGGTGAGGGGGAGAAGAGAAGAGAGAGAGAGAGAGAGAGAGAGAGAGATGCACACACACCCTCTGGATCCACATATGCCAATACTGTTTGAACCATCTATATTCAACATGTTCCAGTTAAAGTTGGTTTCCATGGCAACTCTACCAAAAACCTGCTATTTTCATTGCTCCCTTTGTATTCAAACAGTAAATTAACCATGGTGACAGGCAAGTGTTAAGAGAGCGTTCATCTATTCTTTTCAAATGTTGCACACACGCACACATGCACACACACACACTGTATTGCCCATGACAGCAGTTTCAGATAGATGTCAGCAAGTTTTATGTAGTGAGTGAACTGAATCAAGTTCAAAAATTCAAAATATTAAAAAAATGGAACAGTCCTAATATGCCCCATGACTGCACCGATGACGAATTACAACACGATTTGCAAAAGAAATGGCAATAAAACACCATTAATAGCCATTGCTGAATTTGTATAATCAGATTGTAATTTGGAAAATACAGTAATACTAGAAAGACTGTAGTTTGTAAAAGTGACAGGTAGAAACGGGATTAAAAATCAACATATATCAAGAACAACATCATGCGTTACCCTGAAGACTTGACTCACATCTAGTCGCTGAAATGATCAGACTTTACTGAAAAAAAACCCGGTTCCTAAATTATATTCAAAATATATAATATAAAAGAGCCCAGAGAATTTCATTTTCAGAAGCTGTGGACTTGCCACTTATTCTAGACTTGCAAGGGCTCTATTTGGTATATTTGTTTCAGGGTCTGTATTAGGGTGGCCAAATGTAATATTTTCAAACTGCCTGCCATGACGGACATTTCTGTGAGCTTTGCTTTCAGACTGACTGACTGAGTTTTGGTTTTACGCCGCTTTATGCAATATTCCAGCAACATCACACGGCGGGGGACACCAGAAATGGGCTTCACACATTGTACCCATGTGGGGATTCGAACCTGGGTCTTCGGCGTGACAAGCCAACGCTTTAACCACTAGGCTACCCCACCGGCCCTGCTTTCAGACAACATATCTGGATTTTGCTTCCATAGGCCTAACTGTTTCAGAGACGGATCGTCAGTTGGACAGCTTGACAACAGTCAACAACATGCCACAACATATGAGCACATAACTTTCAGGAGAGCTAAGAAATTCTATGACATCATCAGTGTCTCTGTTGGGTGATGGTCAGTCACACTGGGAGTTTCCAACTGCAATGAGCAAAAAATACAATGGCCTGTGAAAATATAATTAACGCTGGACCAGACAAACTAACCATTGATTGACAGCAAAACCAGTTCCTGCCACTGGGCTACAATGACATGGGACGTGTTGATTTGTTTGACACTTCCTACCCATGGATACAATTTACAGTGTATTAGCCCAATAATGAGGTGTCTCTCAGGTACCGCAGCTTCGGTTTCTTGTACAAGGCAAATGATTGGATGGGTCACTTCTTAAATGAAAGACACATTTTGTTTGGTTGCACATTTTGGTTATTTTTCGGAGTGTTGCGTGAGTTTTTTAGCAGATTATTTTACAAAATATTACAAGTATTTTTTTTTTTCAGCATCATTTGAATAGCTATTCTAACTATATCAGCTGGGAAGAATATCCAAGCTAGGAAAGCCACGAGGATCCTTTGGTAATTAGTGTCTGGTGTAGTTATAATGTACTGTTCTATTAGAGCTGCCATATCGATCTGTCTCTATAAACGACATCTAACATATGCAGTTAACCAATATTCAAATCTGTTTCACAATTTACATGTTTTGCTTACAAGTTTGCTGTGCCTTAGATTTGGGAGTGCTAGGAAATTTCAGGAGCTAGTGATTAATTTGCCTAGACTTGAGTACATACACTACAATAAAGTCCAACGACACAATATATTAATAATATTATCTCATCACAACCAACCTTTTCATATTACTACATGCTATACAGTCTTTGTGCTAGTGTATCAGATGCTCACTGTCACCTCTTGTCTCCCATGTACAAACTGTTAACAGCTTGATGACAAAGATACCAAATCATAACTGTATCACTCTTCGTTCACACATACATCACATATTTCATTGGCTAACAGACATTATGTCATTGCCTCATGAATGTACAAATGTCAACCGACGGCATAGATTACAACAGAAACACTCCTCATTCCAGATCTTAACTCATTTTTTACAAAAACTAGGAAAACTAGAATAATCGATTATACTGCTCTTCACTGTGTTGTGTCAAACCCAGTAGACTTGTTCTTCCGCATCATGTTCCCCATGTTGTACGGTCGGGGGGGTCAATATGGCGCCTGACAACGACAATCACGCACCTGCTACAACCACAGACCAAACACAAATTGTACATAATATCTTACGTTCTGTTCCACAATCTGCACAAGCACCATTACCCGGCTCTCGGATAATCTGACCCAGCGCCTGTCTATATTTATCCGCCATCTTGTGTAGATTATGATTCACTTCCCTGTCAACTGTGACAGTCTTAAAATAGAACGGGGAACCCTTCTACGTCACTAATTTCCTTATTAGGAAAAAGGAAGTAAACATCATCGACACGGTTTGGTGAGTTTCACCAGGGAGACTATAAGACGTAGATTATCCCTGGTGTCACCAACTGCTGTATGATGTCGGTTGTCTCGCATGTACGAACAGGTTTCGTGTGTATTATAATATTCCATCGTAAGAAGTTCGTTTCATCATGATGACTGATATGATTTTAGGCCGACCGTGACACGATCTGCGGATAGGAAGACGAGGCATTTCTGGGCGAGGAAACTACGATCCCCACTCAGCTGATGATTCATATGAAAGGTGCGAATCTATTATGCCTTTCCTTCCTGTGGTGTTTATCACCTCCGATGTCACCATACACAATGTAACAGTGATGTATACATCGGTTATCAATCATGTACGATATTTTAGGGCATTAAGTACTGGTAGGGTAAGGGGTTTTGATAGGTCCTTTTTGATGCACCAATGTACTGAAACTAGCTAGCTATCTGTGATCTTTTTTTAATGCAAACAGTGTATAAAACACTTAAACACGTTTATTCTATCAATTTCTGTTCACCCATAGTTAAACTGGTCAGGTACATTTCAGGTGGCATATACTTGTGCAATTGTATTGTTAGGATTATGAATATCCATTACAAATATAAACAGAAATAAACTCTTCGAGGTAATAAGCTCAAGTATACTCTAAACACTAGGATATACTCGAAAATGACTTGAACGCAGAAACACAAAGAAGTATAGCGTGGTGATGGTAATAGATAATTATAAGGGAAAAGGAAGCACTAGGTGTAACATGACAATCAACAGAACATGTAAGGATGTAAACAGTGAGTGGGTGAGGATGGTTTTACGCCGCTTTTAGCAATATTCCTGCAATATCACGGCGGGGGACACCAGAAATGGGCTTCACACATTGTACCCATGTGGGGAATCGAACCCGGGTCTTCAGCGTGACGAGCGAACGCTTTCACCAATACGCTAACCCACCGCCCCAAGGATGTAATCAACCAAGATTGGTGTTTTGCTGCTGAAGAGAAAAAACCCGAGTAAATATTGTCACTGCACTGCATGGATCTTAGCACTATATTACAGGATTCTCCAAGACCTGGCAGTGACAATATATACCCTGATGCTATTGTTTCCAAGCCCCTGTGACGTAATCGACGAGCATGGCGGTTAGACAGATCCAGATAATTCCTAACCATCTGGTTAATAGCTCTAACTCGTGTGTGTGTGTGTGTGTGTGTGTGTGTGTGTGTGTGTGTGTGTGTGTGTGTGTGTGTGTGTGTGTGTGTGTGTGTGTGTGTGTGTGTGTGTGTGTGTGTGTGGGTGGTGTGTGTGTGGGTGGGTGGGTGGGTGTGTGTGTGGGTGTGGGTGTGGGTGGGTGGGTGGGTGTGGGTTTTACCAAATACCTCAGGGCGATTAGACGACCTTTCACTGATGTGTCCAAATCAAGAATAACCTCTCTACCCACTTGCACCGAGGAACGGCATGGTCCATGTACAATGTTTCGGAACTACGATCTACGCAACTGGGATACGACATGTGTCAACCAAGTCAGCGAGCCTGACCATCCGATCCCGTTAGTCGCCTCTCTCGACAAGCATGGGTTTATACTGAAGATCAATTCTAACCCGGGTCGACAAACACTAGAATATTAATATATTTACTTTTATTGTATATAGTTCCATCATTTAATGAATACAAAATATTACTAGAAACCTTTCATTTAGCTTGCAGCCTGGCTCAGTTTAGAAGAGATGTATATTATTCTGACACACTTTCCCCAGTTCTTATCTAAAATACCATTTGTATAGAAATGAAACTTTTTATGTTCTATTTAATCTTATGCTTTTACGCGTTAGTGACAAAAATTTATCGCCCCATGAACCAGTAATCCTTTAAACGGGTATTGTATGAAAATAGAGTAGACATTTTGGCACATTCGAACTATTGAGCAGACTGATATTGCGGTTATATTATGGTGTATACTGACTTGTTCTCTATCATTCGGTGATGGAGTCGACGTGCGCATGTGAAACTGTTGCATATAGAGTAACCATCCCATCGTCACTGCAACATGCGGACGGGACAAGGAGTCTGTATCCACATGACCAAACAGCTGGATGGGGCAATCCGGAACCGATCTTATGAGCTCTTACTTGGGTGATGTTTCAGTGTTGGTTGGCAATAAACAAATGTACTTTAACCCTCTTCTATTGTTTGTTTTCTATTTTTGAAAGAACGACTAATATTGTCTGACCAACACTGCATGACCCAGGCATTGGAACTGGACCGTTCTTGGTGGTACTAGTATTTAACATCTGCGAGATATCCCGACAGCCTCAAGGGATTTCCTTTTCCTTATATAGTTTTTCTGGTAAATTAAAGAAAAAAGCTATGAATTAACAATTACATTTTTGAGGTAAGTTAACGAAAACCGTTTGACCACCACACTGACATATTTAATCGTTCTCATTGTCTACGTTGTTTACTGACCTTATAATCAACAGGATAACGAAATGGAAGCTTGGAATTACAAATAATCTGTTCTTATGTTCACGTTATGTAAATCGCGCTTGCTATATAAAAGCCCGGGTTTACACCATTCATATACATGGCACAGTCACTCCGTTATACCTGCTAGGATCTTAGGTTATTAACCAACCGTGGTACATAATCACAAAATATAGATGATCATAGAATAGTTTACCAGAATAACTGACTATGCCGGCAGTGCACTGGCTCCTGTTATTATCTGCGAAGATCTAAACGTCATCGACAGTGTTGAGATTTTATTTTGATCTCAGAAACTACATGCAGGTAAATGTACTCAGACACTCATTACGAACCACATTAGCATATTAAAGTGTGATTTAGTGGTATTTAAGTACAATGGTTCGCTGTCAGAACAGACGCTCTATCCAGACAATGAGGTGAACAACAAGCGATATGCTAAACAGACACTGAAGACGACACGAAACGTTTGCCTAGTTTGAACAAAGCCCCAGAATAGTACAACATACATCGTCATATATTACAGTTAGACACCGTGGTGTCGAAGTTAAAGGGACACATGTAAATAATTGAGGGTTCGACAAAGTCACGACATGATAATTACTTGAGGATTGCACAGATTCACTCAATACCATATTGTTTCTTCAAAACAATCGTTTGACACAAGTGTGTTTGAGTTAAAGGAATCAATGTTCTGTCAGCAAAGGAGTGTGTTCACAAATATCTTCCATCTTCGAACGCGACTTCTTTTCCAATATTTAGACATTCTCCTGTCACTAAGAGGATTTGGGCTTGTCTAACCGGCCTGTTAGTGAGTGTGCTGAGTTGTCGCCCACAACGAACGTCAGTGTGTAGAAATTGATCAGCAGCGATTAAATAATACGTCCGTTCCTTGAATGAAGTACCTGCATGAGTGACTATGGTTTTCCGCCACTTTCAGCAATATTCCAGCAATATCATTGCAGAGCCTACAAGAAACTCTACCAACGTGGTGAGTCGAACCCGGGGTTTTGGTGTGGCGAGCGAACAACTACAGGCTACCCCACCGCCCTTGGATGAAGTACGTAATCTACTATGCTGAGTGAATAAATATAATAAGTGCAATGACTGATCTTATAACATATCCGAGGTTTCAATCGATTACGTCCCCCCTCGTCTGACAGAGAGCATTTCAAGATTTAGTTTGACTAGTGTTCTAGGATTGACATTCAAACACGTGACATGCATGACGAAAATCCCGCTATATTACAAAAACACGAATAAAATATAATTATGTCGGGTCGTCTATTTTTAACCATATGTTAGTGATATAAAAGGCAGAAAAGATCGAAAATCCACATTACTTCTCTTCATTTTTTAACATCAATATTTAATGCGACAGCGTTTACACACCATGCCATATATTGAAAGTGAAACATTTCTTACATACGTCGTCATTGTCAACGAGGAAATAGAGAATGTCGTGTGCCGAGGATCCTGTAAGAAACCTCGCCTTACAAATTTTAAGAAGCCATTTGGACGGTATGGCACATTTGATACACATTCTGTATACATGTATAGTTATTACTTAAGCAATGTCGTCTGGAGCTAGACATGAAACTACCTTTGAGTTATATTACATAATTAATGTAGCTATGTCACAGTATATGTATGTATGTATGTATGTATGTATGTATGTATGTATGTATGTATGTATGTATGTATGTATGTATGTATGTATGTATGTATGTATGTATGTATGTATGTATGTATGTATGTATGTATGTATGTATGTATGTATGTATGCATGTATGTATGTGTGTGTGTGTGTGTACGTAAGTATGTGTGTGTGTATGTATGTATGTGTGTGTATGTATGTGTGTGTGTATGTATGTATGTATGTATGTATGTATGTATGTATGTATGTGTGTCTGTATGTATATATGTGTGTATGTATGAATGTATATATGTAAGTATGTCTGTGTATGTGTGTATGTATGTATGTATGTATGTATGTATGTATGTATACATGCATGCATGTGTGTATGTATGTATGTGTGTATGTATGTATATACATATGTGTATGTATGTGTGTATGTATGTATGTATGTATGCATGCATGTATGAATATGTGTATATATATATATATATATATATATATATATGTATATATATATATATATATATATATATATATATGTATGAATGTAAGTGTGTGTATGTATGTATGTATGTCTGCGTGTGTGTATGTATGTATGTATGTGTGTATGTATGTATGTATGTCTGTGTGTATGTATGTATGCATATATGTAAGTATGTCTGTGTGTATGTATGCATGTGTGTATGTATGTATGTGTGTATGTATGTGTGTGTATGTATGTATGTCCGCGTGTGTGTGTATGTATGTATGTATGTCTGTGTGTATGTATGTATGCATATATGTAAGT